GGAACAAAGCCATTAATTACTAATAGGTACAAAGACACACTAAAAACAGAAAGCTTTCATCTTACTTCCCTCCTTAATTGGATTATATCCCCCCTTTTTTTTTAAGGTGCAAAATTTCCAAGGAATATAAGTCCTCATTTAAACTTCTAATATTTTATCCTTTAGTTCAGATGGCCTATAAATCTTTTCAGGGTAGGAGACAGCCTTAGTTTTAAAAACCTTTAGCTTCAGTAAATACCACCCACTTGGGCAATAGCAGAAATACAGTCTTTCGCTGGAAAATTTAGGCCTTTCTCAAAGTGCTGGTAAGAATTATTTCAGGAGAAAAGACTGTTTCAGATAACAAACTCTTTAAGACACAACTAAAACAGATACTACTTTTATACTTTTCAACTTGAAGGTAATAAAAAAGCAGTCTCCCAATTGGAAAAGACTCACATTTAAAGTAAATACATTAATTCAGGTCTTTGAAAGCTTTTGCTCTTTTTGTTTACATCTTCAGGTATGGGGAGAAGAGACTGTACAGCAAGTATCAGGTACAGAATTTTCAGTTTTTCTATTAATCCAGTATCAATCTAGACAGCAGTGATACATCCAGACATAGGATTAGCTTAATTAGAACCAGTACATGGGTTGCTAAGGTTGTTTGAAGACTGCTAATTCACTAAACAAATGCAAGCTTTAGGGGAATCTTGGGGGGTKCGGAGGACCAACACTGAATAATGCATTAAAATAAGAAAAATACCAGGTACATATGAACTCAGAATGCTGTATGAATACTGAGCCTGGAATATGAGAAACAGAATGAATCTGAAAATATAACATAGGCCTGATAGTTTTGTGATTTTTGTTCTTCCAATTATTCTGAATTTTAAAATTTATTTGGAATCGATGTTTAAGATTTGGGGATGTTCACAATTTATCCTAAAAAATTAAAGAGAGATTAATCCTTAAGAAACTGTGAATTGATAACAGTGCCATGCCTCAAAGAAATAATTTTTTAAATTATTTTTTTAAAATAACTTTTAGAAAAATCAATTCACAAAGATACATACATACCATTTTGCTATCATGGTCCTCAGAATTCTCTTAATTTGGAAAGTAAAGTGAAGCAATTCTGTAGTATTACTCCCCAATCTTGAGGAAAAAAGAATACTGCTATAGGTAGTTGGGGGAAGGAGCCTAACCCTTGGTGGAGCTGGATTTGTTGCCAAGCAGCACTGTCACCAAGTGGCTGCTGGATAAATTACTTTAAATTTTGTTTCAGTTTCCTCATCTGTAAGAACAAAAAGGATGGGTTAAAAGTCCTCGCTTCAATTTTAAATCTTCTAATCTTAGGAACTAAGACCACATGAGAGGTAGGTACGTACACATAATTACACAGGTCATATAAGAAAATAATATTTACTACTAAGGAAGTACTTTGTAATGAAGGATGCAAATTTACACTGTAAAGGAAGATAGATTCGTTAAAAATAGGTCACCTAGTCTCCTGATTTGGGACAGTGGTATCATCATTTAAGCATTATCATGAGAATGTAATARAATTTTGAGATAGTACTTTAAAAAGTGCTACAAGACCAGACCATCATCCAATAAAAAGCCTCTGTTTCACATGGTAGACACTGTCTTACTACATTGCTCAGGTCATAACTACTGTTACAGTTATTAAACAATTAAATAGTCCCTTTTCTCAATTAGGAAAAAAAAAGAAACAAGCAATTATTCCTTTCCATCTAAGAAAGCGCTAAGAAATTATTAATCTGTTGAGGTTTACTAAGMGTAAAGGGCTAAATTACTTTTGCACCTTTCCACAGTGGAGATAATAACAGGTATTTAAAAGTTTTAGTTTAGGTAAAGTGTCAAATGAACGTTTCCATGATCTTTGAAATAAGAGAATATGTTCTATAGTAGTCATGAAAATAGTGAAATTCCAAAGAGGCATTAAGAATGAAAACAGTATTAATAAACTTGGAGTATTAATAAACAGTATTAATAAACTTATCAGAAAAGTGACTTTTCTGATAAAAAAATGGCACATAAACAAAGGCTGAAACTATATWGAGAACTTAAGAAAAAGGTGAAAGTCAGTGGTTGGTATCAGACTTTCCATAGAAAATGAAAAAAAAAAAAACAACAACAGTAATACA